ATGCGACCAATTTGTTCAAAAAAATATTCTTTATGGTATGTCCACGTAGAACACGTACGTCTGAAACAGTGTTTGCAACAAAGAAGAAGCCATACATCTCGATTGTATTATATCTAACATGTGGTCTGCAAAGCTTCCTTATGGGTATTACAAACATGCACTCAACAAAGCAATAACCCCACACTTTTTAGTGAAGGGTACAAAGAAACTTTGTTTCGTAAGAGAAAGAGGCTCCAACTCTCATTTCTTACAGAATTGTTGTTTAAGAAATGCAGCCTAATAGCATTAAAAAACAAAACGTTGAACTCTGAATTTGTTTTGGTTGAATATACGCGTACTATGTCATCTGATGTGACTGTTTTTCCCGGTCCACGCATAATCTGTAACCACTTTAGGTGCAGTTTTTGAAAGGCAATAACGTAATTAAAATGAAGTCAAATATCCGATCCGCCGATACAATAAGTTCAGATAAGCCACAATGATCTTTTGGGTTGGGGTTCCACTGGCAGCGAAATGTAGAGCACATCTGTATTAAACGCTGGGCTTAACAACTTATTTCGTGGCAAAAATCTTTCAATCTCCAATTGTGTCGAATTATGACATATCTTGCCATGAACAAAAGGAATAGCATTTGGGTGCAGTCCATCCTGTTAGCCGATGCTCTTACTTGTAAGTGCAGAACCATTTCTAGTCATTTTTCCTCTATTTTTCGTAGTTATTTTATCATTTACAAACGACCTCCTCGGCCAGCTGCGTTAATAACTCGACTAACAGCACGCGAGCCCATCATCAGGAGGCCCAGTAGAGGTTGCTGCTGATTGTGTGGGTGTGTGCGATTGTGGTGGTGTGAGTGGGGGACTAAGAGGGGGTGGGGGGTGTGAGGGCAACTGGCTGTCAATGTGGGCGCGTCTATTGCTTGACTATTGCGTGCAGTTGATGCGAAAGGCCCGGACTAATGGCAGTGCACGCCCACATTTCTCTGCTTGCCACTAATATACACATACATACAAGCATACAAACACACATACACACATAGATGAATGTATGCATGAATGTGTGCGTTTCATTGTCGCATTGCGTACACGCCATGGGGGACGCTGCACATTAGGGCTACAGGTTTCAATGCATGGCAAATTGTGGGCTCAGGAGAGTGTTGAAAATGATAGTAATTGATATAGATGCTCAGGCCTTTGTATGGACACATACTTGTACGAGTACAACAACTGCAGTTCAACAGCCAGAAACAAAATTTAATTGAAGTGGAATAATCAACTCGACACCAATTAACACCACACCTTCACAATTATTGTTACACAGTTGCTGCTGCAATATGTATTATCCAAACAAGTCACACTTCAAGTTAAATTCAAATGTACAACACAAAATATGGTGAAGAAATATTTTCAATCACAGTTAAATTACGCTTAAATAATAATAATAAATAAACATAATAAAATGTATCTAATACAAATTAAGTAGGTTAAGTAGGCTAATCAAATCACTTTTCATTTCACTATCTAGGAAATTTAATTTTTGTGACTAGTGCACTAATTTATAAGAATATTTCATGTCGCACTACGAACTAATATTAAATAAATAAATAAAATCAAATACATACATATATTGGAATTAAATATATTAAGATCTCCAATAACTGGAAAGATAAATATAGCTGAAATATGGCAATAAAAATGCACCGGAAATAAAAATGAGAGGCACATTCAGCTGTGGGATGTGCAGTTGAAAATCAATTCATTATTGCTGCTACTTTGTTCGCGACAGTTGACTTGGCAGTTTAATGTTTCATTATTAAATGTTGTTTAATCACTTTCTGCATATAAGCCATAATGGCTAGCACAGAGCACATTTTATGACAGTTAATCAACGTTTTACACTATGAAATCAGTTGTGTAAATACCGTACCGCACGTACCTGGCGGGGCTTTACATAAATTACTCAAATAATCCCAATAATTCCCCTCATTTGTATGAGCTTCCTCACAAGCTCCATGAAGCATTACTCTTGTAGTTTTCCGCATGTCTCTCTCCAATTTATTATAATTATTAAATGCAAATGATAAATGTGTGATTAACGTAATTTCTGGAGAAGCATCGGAAAGTTCAAAAGTCAAATGCATATGCATAAAATGGTTTCCAACTAAATGCAATGCGAAATCAACCACAATTTCACAATTAACTTGCATTAAATTAAAGTTGGAATATTAAAAAAAAAGATACTCAGAGAGCAGTCATTAAATTAGTTTCAGTGGAAATTTCAACATAAAAATACGAAACCATGAATGCGGAAAACGGATAAATACAGACTACCCACGCAAATGGCAAGGAGACCAAAAAAAGGGCCGTAAAACGTGTAAATGGACGTACATCTACTTGTATAAGCACTTTGAGATTATAAAGTTTATGATTAAATTATTAAGTAAGCTGTTCTGCGCCCACTTCTACCACCTTTCCAATAGCATGCATACATACATATGTATGTATGTATGTATGTATGTATGTATGTGAATATTCACGTCCACACAAATGCAAGCATGCGCGATTATTGTCACAGCTTCCTCAATTATTCAATTATTTAATTAATTTTGGCAATGCTAATGCTGAGATTTTGTTTGTCAATGTTTTCGGTGGGCGTTTTCTACGCTTGTTCTAGTCACAGACATATAGACAGACATACTTATATACATACATAGATGTGTTTGTTAGCATGCATGAGCGTGAAGAAATTTTGCAATTGGGCCCGGCACATTGATGCTTGGATTTTCTCTGGCGTTTTAAGACAGCTCCTAAAGCCATTCACACACACACACACACGCACACGTGTATATACAAGCATACAATACGTATACATATATACCGCCACATTTCCGTTCAAATAAAAGTTGATGAAATTAGCTGCGGCCCCTTTGCGCGCTTTTCAAATTTTATGACTTTGTGCCATAATTAAAATGCAAATGCGCTTGATTAAAAGCCACAGATCATACGCCCCCATTCCTAAATTCCGTCTACGCCCCTCCACTCCACTACGCCCCTGCACGACTCCCGGCGATGTTCGTGCAAAGCCGCAGCATTAATTTTACAAATGCGACAAATTCTAATTTAAATAGCATGGCAAAAAATAAAACAAATAAAAAAGCTTTTTCCATTTTTTTCCTGGTGGAAAGTTACCGTTTTTTCCAACCTGTACAATAGTTAAACCACACATATTAATTAAAGCCCTCTTTCCACTAAAATACTAAAATAATTTCCGACAAAACAAAATGTTTCCAAATAGCAATTATTTTACAATATTTAATTTTTTACTTATCTGTGGAAATTACTAGTGACAGTGTGTGCATAAAAACCTAATATTGGCCTTGGTTTGCCTGTCATTTTGCAATTCGCTTCTTTTGGAAAGCACTATCGCAAAACCCTTTCTTTTTGAAGCAAGAGGACCACCACAAACCAAATGTTTATCTCGAAACAGCGTATAATTACATTAAATTCCAATGCCACCAAATGCTTCTTAAATTATAAGTATATTAACCTGCTTTAACAGGTCTTACGCTCAAAAAAATGTTGTTTTTCTTAATAAGATTAGAGAAGAAGATAAATATTCACAACTTGAAGTAACTTTTTGTTAAATTTGAAAATATTTAGACCTTAAAAACAGCGGAAATTTAAACAGCACAACTTTTTTTTTGTGCATTTATCCAAATCTAGATAGATAACCCCATATATACTGCAGGAAGGGGCCACGCTACCACAATCTAATCCTATATTTCCTATATAGCTCAGTATTTAATATATTACAAAAATGTTCATTATGGGTTATCTGGCAATGTCATATTATAAGTATACTTGTATGTTACTAAGTACACCACAAAATAATTTAATATCTTAAAATAGTCAAGTTTGAATACCAAATTCCTGTTGATATTTAGTTTTCAAATTATCAAAATGTACATATTACGTAAATTTTCTAATGCTTTCAAATTGCTTTGAAACGACCTATGAAAAGAGCGCTATTCAACATAACATCTTTTAATACTTAGCCTGGAAAACGATTTGACAAAATTTTGATTTTTTAAATGTACATTCAAAGCGGATATCGGCCCACCATTAAGAAATTATATGTTGTGTTCGTGATACTCACAAATACAATTAAGAAAAGAAAGCACCAAACAATGTACCATTATTTGCCAAACATCAAAAGCTCTATCAGCAAATCAACTCAAATACGTATTTAAAAAAAAACTATAAACATATGTAAAATTTGATAAAAGTGTGCGGTACCTTGGTCTCATGTTAGATACAAAATTAACCTTTAACGACCATGTTCAATATATCATTAAGAAATGAAATATTTTAGTTCGTGCTTTATACCCATTTAAAAATGGAAACGCTCGTCTTAGCATAGAAAACAAAATGTACCTTTTCAGATCAATATTTCAAGCATGGGGCTTGAGGCTGTAGTTTGGGCTTATGTTGCAAATTTTCATATTACAAAAATTCAAGTCACCCAAAATAAAATACTCAAATGATCTATAACTATAGCCTTTCCTGGCACTTTTCCACTGCAGATTTACACCAAATAGCAAACGTTGAATTAGTTGCAGAAAGGATTGCTCGCCTAAACGTTAGATTCAATAATAGCTGTATGTACTCTACATACTTGCATGTAAATAATATATAATTTATAAATATTAAAAAACTTGTTAGTTTAGTATTAAGTTAGGTTTAAGTTATTAAGCTTGGGTTTTTTTGCTTAATTTTTCCCGCTTTACACTGTCGATTGTTGTTAACCATTTTTATTTCTCCATTTTGTATAATTAAGTAAAAAAGGCTAAGCTGCCTGTACTCTTAACATTAAGATATATTTACCTCACTTGTTAATTCATAATGTTTTTAAGAAATGCGAATAAATTGAAATTGAAATAAACATATGTAGTTTCGGTGGGACTTGAAACTTTCGCCCAACTCTGATCAATACTCATAACTCACCCAAACTCAAATCGTAGGCGCAAATGTAATCCGAGGTGGTAAATTGGTAAGTAAGTGTTGTCTTGCCCACACCTGCGGCGCCCAGCATGGCTATCTTATAGGCGGGTATATGCTGGCCGTTCTGTTGTGACGGATCCGCCAGTTCATCTATAATGTCGGCCGAGGTGCGCGATGCGTTGCTGTGGAACAGACCAACGATGTAAAGCATTGCAATAACAATAATAAGTGGGATTTCAGAGAGAATGAAAATATTTTATACACATACATACATACATAGAAAAAAAAAACAACAGTGGAAGAGAAAGGAGAAGAGCCAGCTCCAACAACGGCTCAAAGCCAGAAAAAAGGAATACTAAGAAGAAGAAGAAGAAGCACCAAAGGCAACAAAAGGAAATGCCATTGCAAAGAAGTCTTTTGCATTGTGCGATATGTCGGCTGTCAGTTGTGAATGTGTGTGTGTGTGTTTGAATTGTTGGCAGTGTCGGCGGAAATCGTTTGTGTGAAAATTGTATGAAATTAGTTTATGTATGGATGTGTGTGTGTGTAAGCTTGCTTCCAAATTGTCGCACGTTCGCTTCATTGTTGTTGCGTATGAACTTTGTCTTTTCACTGCACATACAGCGCTTTATTATTATTATTGTTATTGTATTTGTATTTGTATTTGATGAACAATTTGCCGGGCTGGAGAGCAGCCAGCCACACACTCGGCCAAACACACTCAGACACGCACACCCATTCACAGACTGGCCGACAAACTCACTCGCTCACCTATTATGCCGGTCCACGCCGCTATTTGAAGTGCCCGTCGATGTCACAGAGTTGATTGAACGTGACCTACGGCTCCTGCGTTGTTGGTTAGCAAGTTGATGATACATATAAAGAGAAATATATATATATATATATATATATATATATATATATATACATACATAATTATGTGTGCATGTATTAGTTATAAGTAGCTAAATATCGGCTTAGGCTGCGTCTTCTTACCGCAATGAGTCCCCCAAATTGCAAACGCCATGCGATGTGATGCTGAAGCTGCGTAAACGATAATAATCCATATCCAGATCAGCACAGTGTATGGCCGCACGACGTGTGTCCGCCAAACGAGGCTGCAAATCATAATTAAAAGCCAAAATTAATGCTCCGATCGTGACACTATATACGAGTATATGTTGCCAATATTTCAAAATAGGTATAAACACATAAAAAATGCACAGAAATGTATGTATGTAGATAAATGCACCTATGATAAGAAAAGGCCTCTTGGCGAATAGCAGAGCCAAGACAGCATTCATATCTCCTCATCACTACAGCTCCACCATGTCCCTCAAACTCATTGACAATCCCACAAAAAGTTACAAGTTATTCAATGAACGGCGTTTGCAATAAAACAGATAATAATACAACTTTGTTTCAAATACTTGCAACCTCTACAAATAATAAATAAAATCAACGCATTCGGAGCCAGAGATTATTTTATAGTCGAGCCATGAAACACAACAAGGAGCAGAAGAACGCAACCACAGTTGCAGCTTGGCGGAAAATTGTTTCACTAATAACTTTTAATAGGATTAGCAAATTTGATTGAAATTTGAAATTACATAAAATTTCATTCATGTTCTTTGGAATTATGGACAGTACTAACCAAATTACTTGTATTTATCGTGGGAAGGGGGAGAGACTTTTAAAGATGCGCACACTTCCTTCTTAAAATACAAATTTAAAATAGGGACCGCAAATAATGAATATTTAGTTTTCTTTTAAAATCATTCACCTATATAGTTGAGAAAACGAGGATTATACCAATATCTTTTTTTTAGAATTATCTATAAATATTCACCATGATTTAAAATGTTAATTTTTATTCGTTTTCCCAAAATATAATGACTAATTTTTAGTTATAAAGTATAACTCAACCGCGAATTATTATTTTTGAGCAAAAAAAAAATAAAACTCATAAAATAATTAATATAATAATAATAATAATAATAATAATAATAATAATAATAATATAATAATAATAATAATAATAATATAATATATATAATAATTATTGTTCTTTGAGTTTTATTTATTTGATCAAAAATAAAACTGAAGTTGTAATTGTGCCTGCCCTTTTTATAGGGAATTAAGGCAACATTTATATATATCCTTAAACAATAAGTACAGTTTAATGAGTACAGTCTCTAATTTAAACATTTATTTAGTGGTTCACATACGAAATTCATATTCATGAGTACAACTACTTTAATTCAGCATGTATTCTGATTTCACAATCGATTAAAGCAATTAAAGCTAAGCACCAACAGAAATTATAGTTTATGGGGGCAGATGCTTCCTTTTTCTGTTCAGTACTTGGCACAAACCTAATATACTCTTTTCAATCTTCGAGTACAGGGTATAGAAAACCATTCAGCTATTCACATTTGAAAAAAAAAAAAAGTAAATTGCTTATTCATCGAAACTAATCAGGTTCCTCTATATAGTGCTCGTATGTATATGGTTTTGTCTTATTCAAAATCTCCATAACAACCTCTAGTAGCTCTATTCTTCATTTCTCACAACACCTGAGCCAATTTTTTTCGCTAATACCTATATTTGTGTGGAGATTAGTTCTAACAGGCCCAGTCGCAGTTGCAGTCGCTGTCGGTCTCTGTATAAAGAGATAAGTTACACCATGACTACACACTGACAGGGTGCACACACATATTAATGTACAATATAAGGTAAGCTTTATCGCTAGGTCATTGCCTGCTTAAGCTGAGCCACAGTTCCGGCCAGACTGGCCCAGGTGAGGCCGTCTCCGTCTCCGTCGACGTCGAAGTCAGCGAAGCGTAATTAGGCGCCTGCCAAATGTGAGCGCCAAGCAAAGAGCTGTCGGTAAGCGCATTTATATGTGTACATATATACATACATATACATGTACATATATACATGTATGTATGTATGTATGTACCCGTATATGGGAAGGGAACCACCCACTCACCCGGCCTGGCTTAGTTTGTATATCTCATATGGCAAAAGCCAAAGAAGTAGCGCTAGCTGCGCCTTCTATGGATGTATTTGCTCGTACATATATACATATACATATGCATGTGCGTTAGTGTGTGTTTTGCAGCTAGCATGTTAAAGAATCGCTGTAATTAAGTGGCACGTTAAGTGCCTGGCCTAACAGGCAGTGTACGAGTACAAGTCTTCAGATATGTACTATATATACATACATACATATATTAAGCTGAATATTTGTATGTATATGTATCGTATCTGTGTTTGCGCCCTTGTATGTGGGAGCTTCAGTCATTAACTTGGATTTATGGCCATGACTGGCAACGCGTCGCTCTTAAGCGCCACACGACGACATCGAATCCACCGACCCGGAGGAGTCGCCGAATTGAAAACATGACGAGCCATATTTTGGAAGCTACCACAGAGGCATACAAGCGAATGATGCTTGGCACAGTAATCCAATTTAAAAATGGAATAATGATCAACTAAATGCGCATACCAATGGTAGCACAAAAGGTCCATATTAATTGCTCAATTTGTTCTAGATACAATTGTTCTTTTTTATACAATCTCTAATGTTTCCATAAAAACCAGTAAATGTTTTTAAAATATTAAAGCTTAGTGATATCTACTCCCTATAGGAACTGAAAACACTATTTTCAAATGGAATTGATAACAAATGTATTTGATTTTGCGCGCAAAAGCATTTCAAAGTATGTTTTTATTGGAAAGAATGCATCGACCCTTTTACTTTGACTTTTCGCATGGAACAACACTTTTAATCGGGCCTGATTTTCGCTGCAGGACTAATTTCGTGAAGATCCTCCAAACTTTCTTTTTGTCAAAGGCAATCAAACAGGGTTACGGAAATTGATTGAATTACATGCAAAAGTGCATTTCACAAGAAAAACAACCATTTCGAATGATAAATTACGTTTTTTCATAAGAGATTCACATAAAAACTGTAATTGTTGAAAAAATTACTATTGAAATAAGAATACTTTCAGTTTCGCTGATTTTTAAATTGATAATCGAATTCCCAACACTTACAGACCACTTTATAATCGGGTGAGCTACTGGGTACTATCCAGTATGGACAAGATTGCTTTAAAATTCATTGACGGCTTTAAAATGCCTGTACTTTCCTTGGTAATAGATAGAGTATTTAAAATGAAATAACTGGCGCCTAATCTAAAAAGGTGATGAAATTTCGATACGATTTTGCAAATTCTCAAATGTAGTTCAATGATTCTTTTCTTCAATACCCAAGTATGTTGCCCCCAAAAAATATATACATTTTCTTAAACCGAATGACAAGATTTAATTTAGAGTGCAGATTACTTCAAACTGGGTACGGGCATTCAAGTTAATTTAATATTTGTGTCATGCGTCTTTAATGTCTCTTATTGTTCATCCTCTAACGATAATACCAAAATAATGTAATAATTATTGCACGGCTCTAATAGACTGTAAGATTAATGCAAATCATTTGGTGTAGCAGGTAAGTGGATAGCCGTCGCATACGATAATGTCACTTCTGTCACGAATTATTGTTATTGTGGCACACCACTGTGGCTTGCTTCTTAGCTGCGGTTGGCATGCACTTATCTATCCTAGCAGCACTGGGCCGCCTGCGCTCCCTGCCGTTCTACCTAATGTAATTAGTTTGTTAAATTGCTCGAGCGAAAATTGTGCAGCACGTGCGTTCGTCATATGGGACGGCGACGATGTGACAATGGCGATGTTGGCAACGGATACGCTGACGGAGGCAGGGGCAGGGGCAGTGGCGGAGGTGGAGACGGCAAAAGGCGACTGCTGCACCGGAATGCGCACAAAGTGCAAGCTGGGAGCGCTGGAAAGTATGCTAAGCAAAAAGTAAACACGCAAACATGGCGACGAGTGCAGTACTCTGCCGTGCGCCCCGCCCTCTCCAACACCGTGTCCCGACTTGCCGTGCATTGACCCGTACACTGATGTTCTCTGCAAACTTTTTTCAAATTGATTTTCAGTTCGCCTACACTCTGCCAACTTGTTTGCACTGCGGCTTCGGCTTCGGCTACAATTGCGAATACTCGTACTCCTACGACTGCGCCTGGAAGTGCAGAGTGGGGGCGTGGCACTAAGTGTTTTGCCACGCGTCAAAATTGCATTGCCGAAATTGATTTGGCCCTCAAAATTGGCAGCCCAAAGCGCATTACGGCCAACAATATACAACTGACAATTGAGTGGAGTTTCGGGTTTCAATTAGAGTACGGCCGTAGGGTGTTAGCCACAGCAAACACTATACTATACTGTCATGGAGACCACACCACAATTCACAGACAAATGTTCTCGTTATCGCCACAGGATACCTCTCCATATCCTCTAATTGCAATAAAGGGGAAACCTGCCGCCTCTGCTCCACAATTACGGCAAAAGGCCATCCAGCCATCCAGCTATCCGGCCACATATTATGGAAGTCGGAATGCAATATAAGAACCTAAGCACATTAATTATCAATAACTAAATACGTAATAAGGAGTGCCGGCTTAAATTACCCAAAAGTAAAGGGTAATAACGGACCTAGAGGTGAGGAAGCTTTAAAAAAATAACGCTTTTACTGGACTCTTGAAAACTTTGGGGCTGCACCCGTCACAATTAAACTGAACTCAACTTTCGTTAAACATTTTTGCCGCGCTTTGCTTTATTTTAATAACCTTATTCGAATGAATTGAAACTGTTTGTTGATCTGTATTGGAAAGCTTTCTATCATGGTAGAAATTCTTCTAAAACTCTCTTGATCTCTGAATTAATGTTGCTATATCAGCGAAACTGTTTGTTTCTTACGTGTCCCTCTACTGCTGTAAATGCTATTTTCCTCAATTCCTATTTTATGGCTATTTGTATTTTAAATATGTTGGTGCTTATATCTAGTATCTACATACATATGTATTCAAGTGGACTTTGCAATACATTCTACTATAGTGTGCTGGTACACTACTTGGATGTTTGTAACGGATTTTTAGAGCACTCCAAAGAGCTTTGTCGTCTTGGAGAATATTTATTTGATTATTCTGTGAGGAACTCGCGAAATAAAGGACAAGCGCATGAGGCATGAAAAATTGGGAGACTGCCAAAAACTTGTCGACAAAAGTAAAGAGGACTGCCAAAGGCCAAATTACTTGTGTGCGGATGTGTGGTGTGTGGTGTGGGAGGTGGTGTGGGTGTGTGTTATCGGTGTGGCACTTACCTTGCGACTCTCTGCAGGCATGCTCGAGGTCCGCATGCGTTGCCGTTCCGTGAGACGACTACCCACATGTGCGGCAGCTGCTATGGTTGCCGAACTGCCATGCATATGGCCCGGCGCAGCATTGGATGACGAGGATGCCACCACTGCCGCCTCACCCACGCCTCTCTCGCGAATTTGGGTGCTGTGTGGTGGCTGTGACAAGCCGTGTGCCTTCACAGGATGTGCAGTGGCTGTGGCGGCGGGCGAGTCATCGCTAGAGTCTGCCGTCGGTGAGTCTGTCGCATCCGGTCCACTGGTGGTTGTATCTTCGGCTACAGCTGCCAGTGCCGTTGAAGAGCCCATTAGACAATCCAATTCGCTGGCATTGCCGGCCGCCACTGCTGCAACTGACCCATATTGTGGCGACACTGCTCCAGACATCGCCTGTTGAAATGTAAGCACGCCACTCTCCACGGTAGCCCGGCCCAGAGGAGACTTGGCCAGCGACATGCGCTCACTGGAAAGAGAAAAGAGGAAAGCGAAGAGATGAGCTGCGTTTCAATCAATTATTTTCATACTTGTATATATACACATTTATTTATTAATGCCTAATTGAGGCACTCAACGTGCACCTGAAGTGCATGCTGAGGCTTGCCCTTGGCCTTGTGGGACTTCATTATTATTATGCAAATAAATGGATCCGCGCCTGCCATTTTGTGCAATTATCGCAAAAATTAAAGTGCGCTCTAGGGCTTACGAAACATAAACGAATTATGGCTGCGCATTCGATTAAGCAGGTAACAGGGGAAGTAAAAACAGCCGCACTTGTTTCCTTTAACGGGCTGCTCTGCAAAAAGCATTTAACTGTCTTTAAAGGTGAGTCAAAACAGTTGCAAAAATAAATGAATGACTGTTTATCAATGTTTTTGGCTCCAATTACGATTTAGCACTTTAATTTGCCAGCATCAGATGCATATAGAGGAAGAAGTTCTTTTTAGGGTCTAAGATAGTGAAACGCTATGTACTATACTTATAATTCCTACCATATGTACATATAAGTATGGCTTCAAGCGTATAACTCCAAATTAATTTATACGGAGGAAAGACTTGACTGTTTGAAAAATTGGATACAAATAAAAAAAAGCTTTTTTAATTGATTTTAAAAACCTTGATTTCTCTAGAAAGGCCATTTATTCAAATCTATAGAATTAAGTGCATAATTTTTGTACGCATTAATTTTTTTTTCAAATTACTAGATATTTCTTTATGGCTAATCAGATGTATTTAGAGTGAAGTAAGTGACTTTTGGTTTAATCTATGCAACGATATACATATATCGTATACACGTATATCAAAATGTAATGGATATTTGCCCGAAAATTTCTGCACCGAATAAGTCCATTCATTTCCAATTCCTGGAAGAATCTTACGAAGGAAATAAGCTCAAAAGCATTTACGTTTAAACAAAACGCAATTCTTTTAGAGTGCTTTTCTGTTCGTAATGAACTAGAAATAAATTCCGTCGAACTGGTAATTATAAATGAGGAACTGTTCTAGTTAAAAAGTAAATTTGTAAACAAAGACCTAACCAAAATCTTTGCAGTGATTTAATGGAGTTTCAAATCAGCTTAATCATAGGCTTGTGACAAGAATAGGGCCAAGTGTGTTAGATGACAGCAGCTGAGTCAAGGCCAAGATTCAAGCCCCAAAAACACAAAAAGAGGCAATAAGCTACGACAACAAACAACAATTGTAATTACAGTGGGTGCGACCACAGAAAGTTGAGCAAGATGCCAAGATGGCAGGTAATTAGACGACTTATGCCACCCGAAAGGCGCCATTGAAGCGTTCCGGGGTCACCAGAAGGGCTGCTGCTGTGAGTTCCACATTCATTGTTGAACATTTTTAATTATTTTTTGTTTTGTTTCTCTTTAAGTTATTGTTTAAAGCTACTCCACGGCTGCTGCGACTGCGTTGCCTTTATTTACAACTACCCTATTCATGTGGTTGCTACTGTTGTTGTTGGTGCCATTTATGTTTATTTTAATTAATTATTACGTGCAAACTGCTCTAATTAATGCCATGCAATAAGAGCAACAAAAACAAAATTCCTCTTGGACAAAGGCCAAAGTTTTAAAATGCAAACTTTGCGTCGCACACAATGAATGCTACCCGTAAATAAAAAGTATGCCCGGCTCTCAGACCAGGGACTGCGAACTGAGCACTTACCGCGGATTGTTGCGCATCAGATCCTCGGGAATTTGCGGAGCGCCTCCAATGCTATTCCGACTATAGCCGCCTACATCGTTGTGCAGTAAATTGGAGGCAATGGATGAGGAACGTCGACGATTCAAAATCGGAGATTTCTGCACGCGTATGCTTTGCTGTGGTTTGGTGAAGGGTGAAGAACACATTAATTAGTCAACATAGTCACAAGAATGCATATTTTAAGTATTATTAAAATTTATATTAAGCAATTAACCTTCTGAAGTTATTGCATCATAATCGACGGTCAATAGAATAGTTCTTAATAAAAGAGAAACAGATAGCTTCAAATCAACTAGCTAAAAATTAAAACGATTCTATAAGCTCTTAAATATTGACTCATTTATTGATAGCTACTCGTAAGTACCAAAGCCACCAATTATCCGTACATTTTAGCCGACTCTTAACACTGAACAATTATTTCACCTTTTAATTTATATTGACTTTAAGCATTTCCATGAGATAATGACGAGCAATCACAAAATTTGTACCGAACATATACTATGTATACGAGTATACGAGTGCATTTGCATTTGGTCGTCCAGATTCCAGATTCATGCACAAGCAAAATCTTCAAACAGCTTTACAAACAACAATTGTTTATATAAAGAATCTATTTAGATGTTACATTTTCTATATCAGCTATATACTACAAGTATATGCTGCACATACCACATATGCAAAGGTATAGTGGGTGGAACATGCAGACAGACGGGCAGAGGGACAGACACACACGATTTGTGTTCATGTATGCAAGTGTATAAAACATGTGGTTTACCGCTCTTTTAGATGCATATTATAACCATTTTATGAATACTCGTATGTAAAGTATATCTGTTTATAATACTCCACATGGACATTACTTTGAGTTCACTGTAGCTAAACCAGTCAACAAATACTAAACCACTTGTAATGTACCTAAGCAAAGCACTTTTCTTCACATTGGAAGTCCTGATGCACGTCTACGTTAAAAATAAAATGAAACAAAACAAACCAAATAAAAGCTCACATTTTACTCATAAGTCCAGTAAATAAATAAAGCTTGCCAAAAAATTGTTATTTACAAAAAATTCTGAATTTAGAATTTGTATTTTGATTTTTTTTTTACAATTTTTTATATACAAAGTTATTTTTTCTTCTTCTGTTCTGTTTTTTCCTTACTAGAGCGAGCCTCTTTAAACCCTATTATTGGAAAACTCAAACAATGCACTTTTTTGTAAAAGGTATAACAACAAACTACAATGTTGGTCGAAACACATCTACCAACTCGAATTTTCAAAAATGTATATTTTGTTTGCTTTAAAGCCTGAAATCAGAAGCCGCCTTCATCGAAATGCGTCTATACTTGAACCTCATTACACTTTCGAAATTATTTGAAGAGTTATGCGATCTGGGTTATTAACTTTATAATTTATTTATGTTATAGTCATAATTTCTCATAGTATGGGTGTTGTGGCTTACATGATTTGGCCAATACTTACGCTCATGCTGCCACGACTGGCGAATCCGCAGCCGCTGCCGCCACCGAAGGCGGCATTCAAAAAATCTCCATAACTGTTGCGTGTGCTCGCAGCTCCAGAGCCTGCAGCTGTGGGCGACCCTGGATCACGATTGTAGGCCAGGTTGTAGCTACTGCCCGGAACATTTGCTGGGCCAAATTGCACTTGTTGTTGCTGTTGTTGCTGCTGTTGCTGCTGTTGCTGGCCACTGTGTAAGTTGGCACTGCTGCCAGCCATCGCAGAGCCACTGTTGTTGTAGCTGTTGTAGGAGGAGGGTCCCGCACCACTGCTTGTGTACACTCCCATGCCTAATGCATTGAGGTTGCTGCGACTGCTCGATAGCAACATACCGCTCTGCTGCTGCACCCTATGCAGAGCCGCCTCCCGCGTATGATAAGCGCCCTTGCCACAATTTGTTGGAGGCGTGGGCAGCAGTCGATGTCCAGTGGTATGCTGCGGTGGTAGTTGCACATGAGATTGCTGCTGTTGCTGTTGCTGTTGCTGCAAAGATACTGAATTGGGGGGTTGCTGCTGCTGAAGCTGTTGCAGTTGCAGCTGCTGCTGGTGCTGCTGCTGTTGCGGTTGCTTAAGGATGGGCTTCAGCATGTTGTAGGCCGGTTGATGTGGAGCCGGAGATGGCACGGGGACACCTCGAATGCTCGGCTCCGGCGTGCTGCTGCTAAGCGTATCGCTCTCGTCACAGCTGGCGTCTGTAATGGTGAATGAATCGAAACGACAACACATGAGTCTCCTGGCTCAGTCAGTAAAGTAAACATACAGAAGACGAGTCGAGGGACTGAAAATGCGAAACCGCAAATATGTGTGACAGTAATGTGGTTTTCCTCTTCCACTAAATTAAATATTGTATATCAGAACAGTCAGACCTCATCAAAGGCGGCACTCGAGAAGAAAACGTGTAGGATAAAATTTCATTTGTTTATGAAAACCAATCTGATTCTATTCCATTTTCGCTGTACGCTTCAATGTTGTTTAATATAGTAAGATATTCAAAGACTTTCAAACACGAAATTCTCAATCTGAATCGGCCTATGCTGGTAACTAGAAAAGGGAATAAAACCTTGAATCAGCATTTTGTTACTACAAGTATATTGAAATAATCACTGCTGTCCAGTTGAATGCCAAAAACTGTTCAAGGCTCTTAACCTACATTTGTTTTTGGAATGTTCTAATGCGATACAACGCTACAGCGTTAAACTGTAATGGAATAAAAAACCGTAGAATAAAGGCTGACAATGTCATTCTTTATTTATATTTTAAAAATTTAACAGCTTTCTTGGGTTCAACTCCCAGTTATACATAGAGAGTCAGGCTCGACTGTATGTTAACATTAATGGCAATCAGGTTGCCAGCTGTGGCTTTCAGAGCCACAAACGGCGTTCTGCTGCATACCTTCAAAAAAAGCAAGCGAAGAACACGCGCCACCGCAGTTGCTTTGACAAGTTACCAGACATTTGAAACCATCGTCCTGTTCCCACACACAATACACGTGCAGGCAGCAGACCACGATCCTTGCCATGTTAAGAGGCTAGCAGGCAGTCAAACTATTGAGCTGGCCAGGTAACCATGCCTTTCTACATACGAACGTGTGCTCGTATGTATAGTATGCTTGTTTGTCTGTCTGTCTGTCTGTCTGTCTGACTGTCTGTCTGCCTGTTTATTTGTAGTATGTGTGTTTGTTTGCCAGCCATTTGACCCAATGCTTCCCACTGTGATAGCACGGCCATTGTGCAAGCTGCCTATCCTTGTTGTTGTGGTTGTTGTTGTTGCTATTGCGGCTGCCACATTCTCCTGTGCCATTCATTTTCTATAGCAATAGCTTTTGGGCTCGTGCTCGGGCTCGGGCTCGGGCTCCCATATGGGTATATTCGCACAAATATGTTCCTCAAGTCGAAGTCAAATATGAAAATGCTTTCAGCTGAACTTTTGCGCTTATATTTTTCAAAGGCTTTGCTGTGTGTGTGTGTGTGTGTGTATTTGTGTTGGTGTGTGGTGTGCGTTGTGTAGGTGTATGTGTGTGCGTGTGTGTGTGTGTGCTCTGTATGTTTACGTGTTTACAGTCGGGCTTAGGTTTTCGCAACAGAAATTTAATAAACTTTTCACTTTATGAGTTTCCTTTTGTATATATCCACAAGTATATACACATCTATATATGTGCTTATATGTAAATTTTTATATATTTATATGGATAAATTTATTTAAATGTACACACATACATATGCATGTGTATGGATAAGTCCGTGTGTGCATATGGCCCCCGCAACGACTATAAAATATATGTTTGTGTTTTTTTTTTTGTACTTCCACCATAGTAAGTATTTATAATGAAATTTCATGGACGGAGTTTGTCTGCCAAGCAGACTGCTAACTCTTAATTAACGTATGGAAATTTTGCATGTGAAAGGCAAAATTATTTCATTATGCGAGCATGCGTCATTGTCGTGAATGATGACAACAAAGGCAACAATCGCCAACCACAGCAATAATGAATTGTTTAGCCAAATTAGAGAGATATGCATAAATAATTTGTTCTTAACTCAAGTATGATCGATGCCAATAGCGGGGTAAGCTTAAAAATGCTTGCCTTGAAAATAAAATTGTAGATTGAAATACTTTGAATCCTTTGAATCTTAAATTACTGAAGAAATTTCGGTCTAACTTCATTTTTTCCACTTCTACCGCAAAGATATTTTATTCCACATATATTTTTTTTAGACTGTATCCCGTTTTATTGATTGCTTATATTATTAATAGCATTCATTCAATAATGATGAATCATATGTTTTTTGAAGGTCACAGTTTCCAAAATTTCTTTCGGATATAGATTATTGAACAGCATTAACTGATGATATATTTGCGATATACTATAGTATGCTGATATATTTGATATAAGTACATACCCAACAATCTTGCTAATGTATTTGTAGCCCCCAGATATAAAAAATATTGGTCTGCGTATGGACAAGACGTACCTATTGGTATTGGTTGTTTGGGCAGATACGTAAACGGGTATATCAATAAAGAATCGTCTCGTCTGTTCATATTGTTATATTTATTTAGTTGGCGTTTATACGTTCTAATACGCCAGTTCACCCTTCAATTATAAGGTATACATATGCTTTTACATTCTTATGCTAAAAATTCCTTAACTCCAACATTTATTATTTACTTTAAAAAGTACCCAAGTGTTTTTGAACTAACCCGGTATAGAGGCGTTATATATGTACATGCCTGATGCTATATAAAACAATCGAGGGGGTTCTCCTTTTAAAAAGTATTAAAGACAAATTAAGAAGAAGAAAAACACATACATACTAGTACATATACTTTATCTACATAAATGCATACATATATGCTTGCGTATGTAATAAAGGAAATATTCTTCCAGACCAGTGCTCAGACTTTAAGTTGCGCACAAAGTTGGATATTGCTTAAGCCTCGGGCTAAGTGGTTTCATCAAACGTGTCCAACTTCACTTTCGACTTACTTCGTAAAACTCGCTGCAGAATCTGCTCGCTTTATTACGAATACCGCCAACCATTTCATTTTAACATATGCACCCCTTCGTTGTTGCCAAGTTATGCCTAAATTTATGCCGTCGTTCTCTCTTTTGCAGCAAATCCAAATGGAATTTTTCGGACTTAAAAGTTCTATGCAAACAGCGCGCGATGAAAAGTGAGATACGGTCGATTTATGCTCGCTATTGTGGCCGACAACAATAAACGAAAACACATTTTCCATTACCCACACACACTTGCCAAAGTGATGTGCCAAGTTGCTGGCCGGGTCATCAGATTATCCATCAAACAATTTCAATTTTGCTTAGTCTTTAAAATATGAACTTACATTGTTATTGCACTGTACGAGTAGCTGCGATAATGCGTCTCGTTATTGTTATAGATTTTCAGGAGGCTCATCAATCAGAATACAGAGAAGTTTGCGAGCTCTTCTCTGCAAATGAGATCACAATTTACCAGCATACTAAAATTAATACAGAGGACGGTGACTTTTTGGGGAATTAAACTACTCGTATTGCTTCTGGTATGCTTATGCTTTACTCGTATAGTATATATCCAGTGGCAGTGCTAATAGAAATGTGAAAAATAATTTAATGCGAGCATTCTTTTAAAATATTGAAATTTAATAAAGAATTTGCCGACAAGATTTAATTAACATATTTCGGAGTAAGAGACTGGATATGATAAATGATCAGAACTGATATGTCATCGTTCTTAGATCAATTGTATAATTATTGGAGAGAGATACTGGTAATTAATATATTTGTGCCTCAACAGTTTCTCAAACTGCTCAATATGGAATTAATATCCATTGAAGTGAATTCAAGAAGTTATATTCACTTTGGCTTACAAAAGCATAATTCCTCCATAATCAAGTTCATAGTACCGTGTCCATTCTATCTACATACATAAGTATTTATTAGAAAGTCTTTTTTAATTGGATCATCCCTAGTAACCCCTGGGACCACACAAGTGTTTTCTATACTTTCACAAATAAACCTGTATTCTATATAAAAGTCTTCTTATTTATTTCGATCCTACTGCAGCTATATTATGTAGAGGTTTGACATGGTCAGTGGTTTCGACAGATAGCACTGAAGCTATGGAAGTGGTGGTCGAAGCAGACAGACGGACGAACGGACATCATGATTTGGTTTCGTCTCATCATGCTGATCATATATACGTCCTTATAGGACGTGTTACAAACTCACACACCAAAAACTTAACATAAAACATTAAATATCACCCTAAAAATTGTGTCGACTATATTTTGTAAGACCAGACAATTAAAGGTCGTTATAGACCACGATTTAATACATTTACAAGCATATTATTTATTAAAAAATCTGTCTCTGAAGCTAGTGCAGCATAAGAACTTCGAATCGAATAAAATTAGTGCAGTTAAATCAGGCTTAAGGCTTGTGGTTTTTAACAGGATCCCCTACAGGATCCTTGTTTCAGAGCGCGTTGATAGCCAGGCCCATATAAATCTTCAAGCAATGGTCAACTGGTGCTACTGTGCTTTGGGATTCTCGTTACGCTCCTCCCCAGCATTGTTTGGCTTGGCACGCATTTGAGGCGGTTCTCCGGTGAAATGGGATGGTGGCGGAATCAGTTTTTCTTGAATCATTTTGCAAACAACCTTGTGAACCCGCGGTCCATCGTTAGCATCCAGGAACGGAGTATTTTTGATTATGTATTTAATGGAGCCCCTGCCATCCAGGTAAGCCTTTTTGATGGCATCGCGCTCAGCAACTGATCCAACGTACTTGCTTTTGTGGTATAGGAACGGGTGGAATGTTTTGCGCCATTCATCAAGAAAGGCGTCAAGTTTAACAACTTTGCCTTTGAAAGTGGCGTCCTTGTCGCTGTCATCGTCTCCTTCCCTATCGATAATACCCTTCTTGTCGTAAAGCGCGCGTTTGGTGTCGTCGGTCAAAACTTGATAGATTCTCGAGAGCACCTGAAATTTAGTGGTGGCTTCAGCTTTTTGACTCTCGTGCACCCGATCGGGATGTACAAGCAAGGACATCTTGTGATAGGATTTCTTTATTTCATTCATCTGGGCGTCTTTTTGCAGATCCAAAAGCTTGTATATGTCGCGTGTTTGGAAGTACTTTTCACACAAATCCAATGTAGACATTTCAGGCTATAATGAATAACAAATACAGAAAACCTTCAACGTCTTTCCATTTCAATCAGCGACTCAAAATTGTCAGTTAATATTTATGTCAAAACCGACCAGAGCAGGTAAGCATATTTCTGGCATAGGCATTTTTCAAAAGTCGTTATCCGCACAATATTAATTGCCTGTGAAGCTACTGGAATTTAGTAAATTGAAGAAGGTCACCGATTTCGAATGTCAGAATACTTGTATATCTACAACTGATTGTTTTTGTTTCATTCTAATATTTCTAATAAGTAGATGTGAGTACTTTCTACTTTTTAGAAAAAGCAACTTCCCTGCCATCAATATAATGGTACGAATAAAATACAGGCGTGCATCAGACATTATTTGCTATAAACATTAATATTTTCTCAATAAAAATTTGAAAATTGCATCCTTGGCTTTTTTTTTGGAGGCAGCCCCACTAGGCATGACGTTATAGGCATGGCGTTTTAATTTATAATTAAAGCAATTAATGCACACAACACGGTCGGGAAGGAAGAACGAAAAAGCATAAATTTTGTCTCGAAATATTATCATTATTATGACAACTCTTAAGCTTATCCGTAACACGTTTTGGGACCAACAAGCCTGCCTTCTACGATTAAATGCTTCTTCTAATAAGCATTCAAACTAATTGTGATTGACGGGTGGCATGCGCCTTTAACCGATTACCCTTGTCCATGTCAACTGGATTGCTCAGCAAACTGTTCTCTTAATGCATTCCCGACTGGTTCACTAAGCCGCCTTTGTACTTTTCTCTGTGGGTTGATGGTTGCGGGTTAGAAGTTGATTTTTATGCGAAACGAGTGGCCCTTTTATGAGTGATATTTTGTTTTCCTATTCGTTTTGCAAGTGAAGTTGATCCTTAGTTTTTGTTGGTGGGGAGGCTGCTGTCTTGGTCAAGTTATGTGGTATGAGTTACGGTAACGGGATTGCATGGCTCTGTAAATGATTAGCTTTGTATTAGCTTTAGCGTTGATTTAAAAAAATGTAACTATTTATATGCAGACAAATTTGCGACTTTTTGTTCATTAACACCAATTTTAAACTCCTTTTAAATGCAGATGGCTAAAAGACTGTTTGCGTGCGGGTGTGTGTGTGTTTCCTAATTGAAATCTCGGTTCCATATTGTTGTCACCTCCCAAAGTACACTCAACCATATGGCTTAACATTTTAGCCAAACTAAACATCTTGCATACTTGTATATTGCAGAGGTCAACATTGCATACACACGGACACGCACGCACACACACCCGAACGGATGGGCGACAACAGCAACAAAAACAAAGGGCCATTTTGCAGAGCACCGCTTGGCAGAAAGGGGGTGGATAGTGAGCGGTGTGTGGTGTGCGGTGGGGGCGTCCCTCCCTGCTGCTCGAGCATCAAGAACCGCAAAGCATGTGGTGGACGTCAGTCATGTCGTTGTCACCGCAGAGTGTTGTCATTCATACACACACACACACACACACACGTGTACACTCAGAAACTTAAACAAATTGCATTTGTACAAAGTAATATAAATTCACAATTAAACAAACTCTATCTAAGCGTATTCCTCGTATATACATATAGTATATAGTTTGAGTATATATATTTTAATGTATTTTACTTTTGATTTTAATGCCTGTTATCTATTATAAACAAAAGTATTTTAATCGAAGTGAACAATTAACATATCTATTACATATTTGTAAAACAATAACATTCAAGTTCATCAACAGGCAGGTTTTTACGTCCTTAAATTATAAAATTAAATTATATTAAATTATAAATTATTCGTACACTTTGTGCTTCTGAGTGACCCAGAACTGACCCAAAAGAAACCAATAATTTGGTGAAAAGTATGCATCGGCATTTCCAACCCGTTATTACGGCCAAAGGCGGGCCTACAAAGTATTAACAATTAATTTAGATTGAAATTTAATGAAATAAAATTCGAAAAGCATCAACTGTACGAATAATTTATGGACGTACAAACTTTCCTGTTTTTGATTAGATTAAGTTTTTTCCATTACCAATTGTGAAATTGTTTGTTATTGTTTTAAAAATGTGAAATATAAATATTAATTCACTTATTCGGATTCAACAATTTTTGTTTTTAATTAATACACGCAAGGTTACAGAGCATTGCCGCTTTTTGAAGTTATTGGTGTGCGAATAATTCTTGGTTACATTACTTACATACTTCTGTATGTCGAGAGTAAAAGAAACCATTAACTATTAAACTACGCGTCGCTAACTTTAAAACGAATACAAGTACTCTGTACCATTTTTTACGACAATCACATGACAAAAGAAATAATAGCACTGATAACACTAATAATGTGCACTGATTGCAAAAGCTCCCTGATCCATTATAGTGAGCAGCAAATAATAAAGGTGTGAATAGGGTAGATAACTTATAAGATTTGCGAGTAACATGTTATTTAAGAATTCCTTTTAGTTTTTTTGGTCCCTACTTCTTTGAGTGTAGATACATACGTATGTATCTCTAAAACTCACTGCCGCCCAATGCTTGAAATGATTCCCAGGACCCACTCCAGGAGCCCGTAGAGGGATCATCAAATAATAGAGCTGTGGGCTACCAGGCCCACTAAAAGCAATGTGGACTACTGAATAGATTTGCTTGCTGTTTAAAGCGAATTATGATATTTTTCACAATCCAATCTTTCTGCTCAAATTGTGGTATTTTAGAATGTATTCTTTTAAACCCAATTCTCTTAGTGTATTCAAATGTATGTACACATATATCTATTGAGCTCCCTCTCGTTCTTTTTCTTGTAGACTTTCGCGCTGTTACAGCCGCCTTCCACCTGTCGCATGCAGGATCTGAGGTCGACTCACAGGCACAACCACAACTGCTTAATTAAGTTGCCTGTTACTTGTAGAACAAAAACTGGAGGAAATGGAAAAAAATATTGTACATAGCTGCATCGTGGCGCTACAACTACAAAGACGCAGGTACGGCAATAGGGAACACGTGCCGACGCACGCACTTCCGACACATTGAGGTCAACTTGCCACTGACCAGCGGGCGAGACCGCGACCAAAGCCACATCCGTATTCAAAAGCTTTGGTCGCCTGCCGGCTCCTCTCCACAGCGAACCGTGCGACCAAAGCGCTAATCGCGCCCTGCAAACGGTTGCGTTTTGCATGCTTTACGGACGACACAGACGGACGAACAGCAAACAATTGCACAATGGACAATGGGTGCTGTGTTACTTGATATAACTCACAATGTTCAGTACAACAAGCCTCTTTAGCCAAATTCACACTCAATGCACTGATCTGCGTTATACTTGCCGGCCTTTTTGCGGATTTACAAGTAATCACAAGTCCCCAACACTTTCAGCAACGTTGTCGTCTTTTTCACAGGAAATGGGGATTCGTGGAAGTGCGCTGACAGCTTTCAAAGGCATGTGTGGTGCAAAAGTACTCTGACTCGATGCTTCGGCGTCTACAGTTTGGCGAATAGATGGGGACAGGTAGAGAATTAAGAAAAACTGTGACCAAGGAGCCAAATATATCACTGTACATGATTAATTGTGTACGAATGCCGGAAACAATCACCTTCCCAAATATTAGCCCAACGATCCATTCAAATAGTTAGGGATGGACGATACAATCCTTGTGTAGCAACGATACTTTGCAAAAACTTCGCATCGCTCATCCCTTTTTCCAGCTCTTTCTTTTTCGAGGTATTGCTGCGCTGCAACCGGTTGGCGTTACTTTATCTAAACTATTCTGGATAAAAATAATCAAAATGTCTCCTATTTATACTCCAACGGGTGCTCTCTTGATGGCCTTCAAGGTAAAATGTCTCCACACTAAGCAATATTCCAATAAATCTTCCGATTGTCTCAACACGAACACACATGCATCATACACACACACACACATAAATATAATCCATTAATAATATATTAAATGTACATATGTACATACATATATAGTTCAAGGAAGACTTCGTAGCTGGACTTGTAAAAGAATTGCCACGCATGAATAAGAACAAGGAAGAATACAATTGGCTGACACCAGAAGATTTGAACTGCGTGATGAAGGACTTGGGAAAAATGCTAGATCAGTGCGCCGATTTAACTAATCTGAGCGAGCTTCGGGAGGAGACACAGTTAGACGTTTCCAAGGCTAACCTCTCTGTGAGCGTTAAAGTAGCAGATGAGTCGACAAAGGAAACTATTCGCAATTTTTGCGCCCCACTGCACGATGCTATCTCTCTGGATTTGGTGGTTCGATATGTCGGAGAAGCAGAATCCGTGGATACATCTCCAAGTGATGGGTATGTAGTTGCCGCAAAATTCCCGTATCAACAATCAACGAATGGTAAATGTTTGTACATTTTCTCTTTTTGCAGTGGCGCCCCAATTCCAACTCAAGCAGGACACGCTTCTGCTTAAGTCTTCTACTGCTCGGGCCAACTTGTAGGATCTGCCTGCTTGGAATTTTGCTCAAATTTCAGTCAAGCGCGTTTACATTAAAGAGCATATAATAAAAGACAACAATGCCACCGTACATAAGTTGCATCTACTTAAATATCAAACTATGTTTGTAAAGGATACATACATATATAATATGTAGTATATACATATGTATTTGTTCACATTGAACTACACCATTAAGCTAAAAGTTCTTTTATCCATCCAGTTTGTGCCTAAACTGTTCCAACAGAAACGTATTCTTTCGATTTAACGCAGCATTGTAGTCGTGCGTGTACATATGTATGTACATACATATATGTATCTATGTAAGCTGTTGTTTTTTGATTAATCAGAATTCTGTCTGAATCGTTAATAGAAATGTTATTGAAGCGATGAAGAAAGATTCGCTCGGAAAACTTACCTACCTATCTACATGTAACTATTATGAAAGATGAATGACATAAAAATAGAATTCAGTGAAAATCACACAAATCTTTTCTATACATAAAGGGAATTCGTATTTTTCTCACTGGATTTTTTTCAGTTGAGCAGCCTGCGTTGATTTTGCTGGAAATTAAGTTCCACGGAAGTGCTTAGCGCAGAGATGCTTCACATCAAAATAATCTCCAACAATATTACGTACGTAATACGTAAATATACATACATATATGTATAGGAATCACCAACAATTTTAACAATTTATATGCTCACGACTTCTAGTCCTACAATATAGTCAAAAGAGCAATAAGTATCGATAGTTAGAGACATATCGGTCGTTTCTAACTATCGATACTTAAAAGCATTTATTATAACTCATCTCTCATTTCAGATCATCCTATTTGCAAAGATACGGTGCAATCAGAAGTCCGCCTCGTCATATAAAGTTGTTGAAAAATAATTTAGAAAAATGAAGCCCATTCGCACTTCTGGCACGAGATTACTCTCTGGATTTGTACTAACATTCAAGGTACGAAATTATATGAATTGCAGCTTCCGATTGACTATACATACATATGTACATATGTATGTATGTGCGCGTATGTATTTCAGTACAAGGGCCGCAACGTGGCCGCGTTGCTAAAAAACGTGCCGCGCATGAGCAACTGCACTTGGCTGTTGGGAGCTGATTTCACTATCCTCATTAGCGAATTGAGTCGCCTGCTAGATCGAGTCACGGATGTAAATGCTGTGGTCGAACTTCGTGAGTGGCAGGAGGTGTTCATTCCTTCAGAGAGAATCGTGATGCGCGTTAAAGTTGCTGCCGCTACACGCACCAACGGCACTAACATCCTTCTATTGGTGAAGGTTAAATATTTGGCCAAGGAAAATGGGATGCCGTTATTCAAACGGAGGGTATGCAAACTGTATAAAGTGTTTCATTGTGTTAGCAATCGAGCTCACATATGTACATACATATGTACATATATGTACATATGTATGTACATATGTGCGTACAAATTCTTTTCGTTTTAGTGGCCCTAAAGACCCTGAAGCATCGCAAAACAATGGCGATATGTCATCCACTAGTAAGGCAGCTAAAGGCGCAAACTAATGTCTCCTGCTACAATTAAAAAAACAACAATACTTTACACTTCAACTTTAAGTGAAGATATTGAAGGAAACCTTTGTATGTTCAGATATATACATGTATACATGGCAATGAATAAACATTGAATAATGCTATATGCAAACGTACATACATGCGTATAATATTTAGCCCATCTACTAGCCAGGTCAATGTTTCCCTCCGGCTATCCGTCCATAAGCTTCTACTATACCAGATGTGTAGGTTTATGTTTTTTATTACGATATAATTCCCGTATTAGCTGGATTACAATCAAATCGAGAGTGTATGTAAAAAATTCAGCAGAAAGATCAGGCACTTTCTCATTTCATTTATGCCTTTATTTAGTAATTAGTTATTGTATCGCCTATGGGGCATATAGAACACAATGTGGGTCATCTGGATGTGCAAATGTGCATGTATGGTTATATGGCCAGTATTGGGTATCAGCAATTGCTGTTGTTCCGTTTCCGCTGCGATAGCGCAAAGACCCCGCCAACTTACCAAAATCAAAAGCGCGCTCCAAAATGACCGAATGGCGCTTTTGTAGTTGTTGCTGTTGTTGGAGCTTGGCAGCTGCCGCTGTGCTGGGTCCATCGGGCAGCAGGCGACTGTGACCGGCACCAGAATGAGCGCCACTATTATCCTCGCCATCGGGCCCCAGACGTGTGTCGCTCGCATATTCTTGGTAGCTAGCGCCGCTGTTTTTGTTGCTGCTGCTGTGGGTGTGCGTTTTGACGCAATTGGTGGCTGGTGCTGCGCCGGCCGACTGTGAAAGCGACTGCTGCGACGGCGGAGGCGGCGGTGCCTGCTGCCCATCTGCCGGCTGCGCCGGATGCTGATGCAGGCAGCAGTATTTGATGTGCTTGCAGAACAAATTGCCACTGCTGCCCAGCGCCACGCCGCATCCGCGCTCCGCGTGTGCCTGCCCCTGGCCCTGACCATGCACGGGCTCCTGCGCATGCTCGCCGCTGGCGCCCACGCCGCAGAAGCTCACACGGTTGAGACCGGTGTTGCTACCTCCGGTGCTGCTGCTGCCGCCGCTGGCGCCACTGGCGATGCATGAATTGCGCGGGCGGTTCACGCGAAACGAATTCGAGCGGCCAACATTTTGTGATCCACCGACGCCGCCACCACCGCCGCCGATGCTGCTGCTGCTGACGCCGCTCGCATAGCGACCGCCGTAGCCCAGACCATTTGCGAGTCCGTGGCTCAAGTCGCTCATGTCGCTGCTGCTGCCACTTCGGCTTCGCGCCGCTCCATGTCGGCCAAAGGCGCTTGCCGTCTGCTGTCTGTCCGCCATGGTGCTGTGGCCGCTATGGCTGCGCAGACTGCCACCGCAGCGCTGACGTTGCGCATACATAGGGCTGTTGGATCGCGGAATGACCTGCAATGGGAGAGGCAATGTGCCACCATACATTAGGCAAATACGTTCACATGTAGCTAGTCGTGTTTCTTCTTCTTGTTTCTTGACCATTGGTATGGTGTAGGGAGGGGGTTACCGAAAGATCCTACCTTGTCCTCCAACAAATTAGCAAACAAGTCCACACGATCCTCATCTTCATTCATCATTTCAAAGAAATTCTTAAATGTCTCCGGAAACGAGGCCGGGAACTGTCCTTGTCTGGCATCCAGTTTGGTGTCCATGGCTTGAAAACCCCGGCAAAGACATGCAAAAGAATAGAGCACAACATATACATATGTATGTATGTATGTATGCATGTAGTAGTGAGGGCAGACAAAATACATAGCAAGCCAAATGCAAGAAAATTAAAACAAAAGTGGCCATAAGTCAACATATTGTAGGTTTATAGAGAAAAAATGAAGCAATTAGTATTTAATGATCCTATTTCTGTAAATCAGAGAAATCAGAGACGCAGATAAAACAGGCGAAGAAGAAACAAAACAAAATTAAATGAAAGTTGGAGTGCGATCATAAGCTGACTGGCACAAAACTTTAGAAAACTTTAGTGTTCCCAGCCTCAAAAAATGTACAATGTGAACGGAAAAAAGTTTACAACTCAACGAAAATTATCGTTGAAAAGACATTCACATTGAGGAGTAAACCTGTCATTTTTAAGAATCATTCCACACGTTTGTCAATGACTGCACAGTCACATATTTACACGAAACACTAAATAACATTTTTTCTGCTCAAATTAAACTGTTTTCCTTCCCCTATTAAAGGGGTAACACAAGCAAATTGTTAGGCTCCTAATGTGTGCGCAAAACAAAACAGGTGCTTCCTTATGTGCATAAAAGAAGTTGGATAGTAATTACACTTCTAAACCGAAACCTATACTTTTTTTGGGCGTCGTGGTACCGCAGATTTATACGAATACAACGCCAGCTGTTAAGATGCCGCGAGCACGCGGCTATCCTGTTGGAAAAATTAACAAGCGCAAACCAAGAGTTCAGCAGAGGTATGTATATATGTACATATATCACGAGATTTTTAGCCATATTTTTCCGCGATCAAATAAATATTCAAGAGTCAAAAGGCAGTGAAGCAGCATCACTGCCGTAAGCTTTATTTGCGAATTTACATTTTCTTATATTCTTATTTTCTTACACAAGGTCCAATATATACCACACCAGGGCTGCAGCAGTTAGGCGTAGACAAAATAAAAGGGCTACAGGCGCCTTAATAGGCCGCGCCTTCAATGGGCGAGGAAATATTCGCAGACGCCCCAATTGTGTCAATTGTGGTCAACCAGTGATTTCATCTACAAGCCTGTCGCTGTAGGTTGCAAAATACTTATTCACAGTACAGCTACTATTTTATATTCCAGCAGGCTTTGTTCCTCCCATGCACTTCCAGCCATAGAAGATATTTACCGTATTAGAAAAGAAAACCAGTCAAAGAGGTTACCAATTCCAGATAACTATAAAAGTTTCTTAATAAAGCGAAGAATTGGAAACACGGTGAATAATAGATATAATATCGAGTCCACCTTAGGCGTTGGAACTTTCGGGCACGTGGTCAAGGTCTGGGACACAAAGGATAATCAATATAAAGCTCTAAAGATTTTAAAAGATAAGGAAGATGGCCTGGCAGCCGTAATGGAGATTAAAGTGTTGTCCAAATTGGTGGAAAAGGATCCATATCACAATCATTTTTGCATCAAGATGCATGATTCCTTTAAGATAAAAGGACATGTTGGCATAGTTCTTGATATGCTTGGAGTCAGCATTTTTCAGTTCTTGTGCGAAAACAAATTCCACCCTTTTCCCATAGACCAAATTCGTCACATAGCCTATCAATTATGCTTCGCTGTTAAGTTTTTGCACAACAACCGTCTGACGCACACAGATCTCAAGCCAGAAAATATATTATTCGTGAATTCGGACTATTTATCCTACTATGAACCGGCGGTGAATCGTGATGTGCACTTTGTCAAGAAAACGGACGTACGTCTGATTGACTTTGGCTCGGCGACCTTTAATTACGAGTATCACAGCCCTATAGTCTCGACACGTCACTACCGCGCTCCTGAGGTTATTTTAAAGAACGGCTGGTCCCATCCGTGTGATATCTGGTCCATTGGTTGCATACTGTTCGAACTCTATACGGGCAAACCTCTTTTTCAGGCCCGCGAGAATAAACAACATCTGGCCATGATGGAACGCGTACTTGGCGAAATTCCTAAGCTCATGAAACGAAGAAGCAAAACTACCTACTTTAGAAATGGTCAACTCGACTGGGATGAGTGTTCTTACGCTGCACAACAAGTGTATGAATACTATAAACCCCTGTCCAACTACAAGAAAATGAGAACAGATGATCACAATGAACTCTTCGACTTGATCAAACAGATGTTAGAGTACCGACCGAGAACACGTATTAAGATAGGTAAATTCTTGGCCCATAAGTAAGTTGTGATGCGCAATTGTTTTAATTTATATCTCGCACAGATGCAGTACTTCAGCACCCATTCTTTGACCGTCTGCCAGCACATCAGCGTGCCCCTGAATTGGAGGATACACTAAAATATTAAAATGATTCGGCTTTTTGTAGAAATGCAAGAAACACTTTAATCCACACAACACATACATAGTTAAACGAAAAACAAAATGGTTTCAAATGGACCGGAATAAAAATTTGGAACAACCGTGAATTGAGAGGACCAACTACCTCTCCTGCTGATACACTAATTAAAAAAGTAGGAAACTACAGTTCCTTAGACTTAGACAGACAATATAACGAAGATAATAAAGTTAGAATAAAAAAAGATGAGCTTTATCCTTCCTATAGATAAATTAGCTGCTCCGCCTTATTGCAGGACAGATGGATATACTTTTGTTGTTTGTTTTAAAGCAATAGCTTTACCTAAACAATTGAATGAGGGTCTTTAATTGCCCATTTGTCTTTTTAATGATGTTAATTTGTTTAAGCTATACCTAATACCAAAGGGCAAGGGAAAAGTATATGCGCTGCAGTCAACAAATTTCTTAAAAGGGTTCAAATGTGCTTTTTTTTTTTAACTATACGCGCTGCACAAACCGGCCTACTTCTTGTACATGGTTAAGGTTCATTCCGTTTCCAGCGGTAGTATAGTAATTACAGTTAGACAAGAGAAGCGAATTGAGTTAACATTTCTGCGATCTTTAAAGGCATTTCGGAAGTATTTCACATTAAAAGATTGGCACATGTACCTCTTCATTTAATCAAATCAGTATTTAAAACTAAAATTCTGGAAAATAATACAATTTGTGTGACACAAAGCAAAGAGATTACTTTTACGAGTATTTTGCATTTTTGATTTATTTAAAGACTCATTTATATTCTTTACTATTGCTTTTGTTCATTTTTTCTCTTCTCTATTCTTAATCGATTTTTGAGTCGGATTTAATTTTATTTGTCGAGTTTATTATTCGGAAAAATGACAAAATTTAAAATAATTTCAGTGCATACTCTTATAATATTGAAGCATTTATGTGAGTGTTGAGCGCCTGAGCGCACACATCAGAATCAATTAAAACGCTCAACAGAAAACTTAAAATTGTTTGCCTAGTTGGTCGCTCCACTTTGTTTGGACACTTCCTTCCTCTTCTGTGTCTGATTGTTGACAAAATTTCATTGTTCATGAATTGAATTACGCATTTTACATAGCGAAGTGAGCTGGCATCATTGTATGTGTGTGTGTGTGTGTGTGTGTGTGTGTGCGTGAATACATTGACTCCGCCATTTTTGTCAGAGGAACTTCAAACGAAGCGTTCCCATCGCGGTCTTAAACAGTCGCCCACACTAAAGCCGCCACAGCAATCCCAGCCCAACCCCTACAAACGCCTTCGCCAGTGCTTTACCTCTCGCTTGAAGTGCTTTGAGCTTAATTGAAATTTCGGCGGGGCTGTTGTCGTTACTGCTTCTACTTGGTAACAGAGCCCATGCAACTAAAATGTTATACGTAGTACACACAGCTCAGTGATGAAATTTGAAAAGTTGACGACCGCAAACAAACTGAGAAATGCTGGCCAAAATAAGGTGTCACACTTGGGCAAACAGTGCGTTGGGCCCACAAGCGCACACAAAAGTTGAAAAGTTATTTTAATGGCGGTTTTTGGTCGGCAAATTGACCGGCGTCTGGCGGCCAACTTGTCACTCAACTGCGCATGCAAATGAGTTACAGATGGACGAGCCAAAGGCACACTCGCACCCGACCCCACACATTACGATTCCACCCACCCATCACATTACATACAAATTAAGGATCGAAAAGCAGACGGAAAAGCAGTTATCGTCGAACCAAATATTGGACACCGTTGCCAACGAACGAAATCTTATGGTATGCAGAAAAATGTAGAATCGGGGAAGATGGTTAGAAAGATAGAAAAATCAGTGTTTCATCTAACGAAACAAAATACAAGTATATTCAAACTATTTTTTACAATGATGGATATTATTTATTTAGTAATCCCAAACATTTTGCAACCGTTTTGTGCTTGTTTTTAGAAACCCCGCGCTCTCATTTTAAACTCAACACAACTTCTGCAGTTAAAATTAATCCCACAAATCAAAGAAGAATGTGCACTTATTAAATTATTATATACTTGTATACACTAGCGTTTTCGGCTTCCGTTGCTGCGCCACTGAATTGTAGTGCTTTTTAAGCCTTCCACACCTCACATCTTTCCCAATACGTCCTTCTCTCTTTATGGCTTCGATTACGTCCTTGATTGAGTACCCACCCTGTCGTCCACCTTTCGTCGCCTATACAAAGGATGTCCATCGCCCCCTCTTGGTGTTTCTTGATCGGATGCGCTTTCGCGCATTTACCGAAGCCTCGGCTTCCGTTCTTGTTTCGTTTTGATGGCTCTAGATGTGGATGCCCTTTCGTAAAATCGTGCCACCGTTATTCGCGTTCATCGGCATTTTCAGCTGCATTTTTTTGAATTCGATTTTATAATTTTATTTAGTTACGTGTGAAACATTGAGAAACAGAGTAAAAAGTGACTGTCCAACTTATTAAAATTAGCAGAAAGAGGCCAGAAAACGATGGTTGATTGCATTGACGAATCGCCACAAAACTTCACAGGTTTACCCGGGACTATTTTGAATATTGCCACAAAATTTTATCAACATATTTCCATTTGTATATATATATATAGATTTATATTGTTGACAGTTAATGGGAACGCTAATCTTGGATTAAGAATTGTCAACATCTCATAGTTTTCTGCATGGTGCATACTACACAACTATATTTTAATAACATTGTAAATATTTTCATGCTCTTTCAAAGGGTAATCGCATTTTTCTTTCATCTCAACACCTTTCCAAGCGCTAAAAAAAAATTGGGTGCAGCTTAAGTTATGCCTCAGACCTTATTAAAAATCATTTCATATGTAAAATAAATTTTACACTTGTGATTAATTGTTGCCTAAACATGGCGTGGGATTATGGCAATTAAATTAAATTTCGTTGTAGATCCAAATCTGACACTAAATTACAGCACGCGGCTTTCTGACTAATCCCCATTGTACTATAGCGAAATAGGAAAGCAGCTGACACTCTGGTCGCCAAAATGACGTTTTTTCTCCCGGCGGAGGCAAAACAAAGCTCTGCACACACAGCCACACATGCCAACACTCATGTAAGTACCTGTATAGTACTTGGGTGGGGATTGTTCGTCAACAGAATGCCAGCTTTGGTCAGGGCTTGGCCCGTTGATTGCTTCACACCTGCAATCCACTTCAGCCGTTTACGAGCTACGAGGAGAAAGTAAAAAAATCTGAGCAATCTGGCTGCAGAAACTATTTTGCTGATCTGGTTCACATTGCAACGAATTTAAAAAATATTAACGTACCATTCGGTAGTTCATATGTATATAGTAACTGAGGTAATTTATTTGGTAATACAAGTAAGTTCAAATGTAAAAACTATTGCATTGCGGTGTTTTCAAAACTTGAAAAAATATGCATGAGTTTAGAAAAATATATTTGAAAAATGCAAGCAAAATTTTAAAATTGTGTGTTTACTTCTACAAATAATAAATTATATTAAGATATTATTTAAGATTTCGATTTTTAACAATTTTAACAATTTATGCGACTCGAAAAGAAACACTGCTAAAATAGACTAAATATTCAGATCGAAATCATCTCAATTTAGAATTAGTTCTTAAATAGAGACAAATAAAATGCTACTACGCATTATCTTTTGAGTTAATTTAAATTTATTTTTGTTGCAGCGGAATCGGCCTACAGATAAGGCTATAATACGACAGATTGATATTTATTAGATATGAGACCACTCCTATAGAATTTTAAAACTGCAAGTAATTATGAAAATCATGCTTTATGCGATGATGGTTGCGCCGTAAAACCGAGTCATACTCAGGAAACGAACTCATATGGGATTCCTTTTAGCTCGTTGAGCTATGCCAGGCCCCATTACCTATTATTGAGCTTCCATTCATAGTTCTTTAGCTATATTCAATATTTTCGAGAATTGAATTAAATGTAGCATTCAGTTTACACAACCTAGAGATGTTGTTCGAGAAATTGTATAATACTCGTAAACTATGCACTCCTGCAATTCCAGGGTGCGGTAATTGCAGCTGTCTATACAATTTGAAGCTTTGGGTGTGAACGTACAAGCAGACAGTGCTGACTACTTCCTTTGTTGGACAGCAGTATACGCAGACAGGTCAATAAACTGGACGCAGGAAATATCTGGCCACCAAGCCTTAACGACAGTGATGATGATGTTGTTATTGTTGTTGTTTGGGAGCACAAACTGCCAGGCCACTACTGTAGGCCTTCATTCCTGCCGTAGATGTAGTCTGCAATTTGTGCATAATAATCATTTGGTCATACATATAATGCAGGCCAATTTCGAGTTCGTTGCAACTTTTCCCAAGAACAACGAATGCAGCAACATCAAGAGCAGCAACATAAAAACTTTTTGCCAGCAATGATGTCAAGTGGGGCTGCTTGCCAACCGGCAGACTTGGCTGAGCTTATTAAAGAGCATGAAATTTCAGCAAATTGCATGCCCATACGTACATACCATACATATGTATGTACATAGTTGCCGACCATTATTAAGCACCCGTTGAGACAAAGTAAGGGCGGATGGAGTGGGGCGTGGCTGGAAGGAAGCGTGTAAAGAGCGTTAAACATTTAACGCCGACAAATGAATACAAAAACAAAAACGGCAGCGCCTGAAATTTAAATAGCTAAATAGCATACAACAACAACACCAGCAGCAACGAGCCAATTGCCAGAGGGCTGCCTGACCCCAATTTGGTAACGTTGTTGTGCCTGCGCCTAAAAATATGCGCATGTTTTTCACCTACATTTTTTGTGTGTGTTTTTTTTTTTGGCCAGCCTCTTTATGCGTCGTATTTTTAATTAGCGCCTGGCTCGGGCGCTGGGCGCTTTGCGTGTGCATCGAGTGAAGAGTATGCCTCATAGTAATGGGATCTGTTGTTGTTGCTGCTGGCGAGGGGCGTGAATGCGAAGCCTGCATTTAAATTGCGCGTGCAAAGGCAGCAGCTCCTTTTTTGTTGCATACTTTTCAGCGCCCTCTAACGCGCAAAACTCAGACACACACACATACACGTATGCAGATGTCACCGAGATTTTTGCAATGCACAGTAGGTATTACTGTTATTATATTTATTTATGTGGCATCATAAAGCTTGGCAGACAAGAGAATAGAGGCAGACAGACAAGCAGACAGGCTGAGAGGCGAGCGGTGAAAAAAAATGGGGGGTGGGGGATACAACC